GGAAGGTATACCATAATAGGATTGCTCTTCTTGACCAAACTCCCATTGATCGAACTTTTCATGACCAGACTCCCCCTGATCGAATTACCCATAACCAAGCTCCCCTTGATTGAACTACTCATTAACCAAGACCCTCCTGATTAGATTTCTCTTGACCAGGCTCCCCCTGATCGCAACACCCATCGTCATTGGCAAAGGCAATTATAGACTTCTTTGCCATAAAACCATCAATCATCTACATTAAAGAAGCTCTTCATCGTAAGTCACAACACTTGCAATATTGTTCCCATCCTTTTGTTCCTTTTTCCGTTTACGACAATGCTTCTTCATGTGACCCTTTTTCCCACAATAGTGGCAGTCGCCATTGAATCTCGTCTCACCAGAATTTTTGCCTCTTTTCTCACTGACAAAGAGTTGTCCAGCGCTTGCCCCTGAAGCTTTTCTCCTTGTTTCTTCATTAAACATGATATCCTTAACGGCATCCATAGACAGTACACCATTAGAAACCGAATTGCTTACAGTTACGACGAAGGTTTCCCAACTATCTGGCAAGGATCCTAGCAATAAAAGTGCTAGCAGTTCTTCTTCAATATTCAAACCCATAGTGACTACCTGATTGATCACGTTCTGAAAGTTGTTCAAGTGCTCGGTTACACTAACATCTTCCGCATACTTCATGTTGACAAGCTTTTTGATAAGGAATGCTTTCTTGGCAGCGGTCTTCTTCTCAAAGAGGGATTCTAACTTCTTCCAAAGAGCTTGCGCATCAGTTTCTTTAGACACATGGTGATAGATGCTCTCGTCCACCCATTGTCTAATCGTACCAATAGTTTTACGATTCATCTTGGTCCAATTGGCATCAGACATATTTTCTGGCTTGCTCTTAACACCTTCAATTGGCTCATGGCTATCTTTACAATAAAGCATGTCCTCCATTCTTGATTTCCACGTAACCCAGTTGGAGTGGGTGAGTTTCATCATAATTGAACCCTCCATTCTAAACGGATATCAGCCGAACCAGGCTCTGATACCACTTGTTGAGAATATCGCGTTTAAGAATGGGAAAAACAAGAACAAACTCCGGAAATCGAAAAACAAATAACCAAGATAAATAACACCAAGAATTTACATGGTTCGACAATATGTGCTTACGTCCACGGGACAGCAACAACAATCTTTCACTATATCAATAATGAGTACAACCAATAATCTTGCCAAATCTCTAGAACTAAGATTTGACGAAAAACCTGAAATAACAAGAACAAGAAATACACTATCTCTTTTCTTTTCTCTCGCACACACTTTACAATATTCTCTCACTCTAATCCCTTGAGTGGTATACAATTTATTGTTTTGCTCCCTCCTTAAAACTAGTACAATAGCCCCTTTATATAGACATAATAAAGGTCTTCTTCAATAAGGATTATTAATCCTAATTGGAATCTAGTTATGAATCCTACTCCAATTGAGAAACTAACTCCAATTGGGAAAACAACTCCAATTGGGAAAACAATTTAATCCTCTAAGACTATTAATTCCCAATAGACTTAGGACAACTAATCATGGGCTGGAAAAAACCCAACACCTGCAGCATTGCATGTATCATCGATGCATCATCGTGTGCTCTGCCATTAATGCTGAGAGCTTCAGATCTCTTGAACTCCATCTCACGTATGAATTATTTTCCCCTCTTGGTTGTGTGGGTTCTAATCCATCTGTGATGAGTATTATGGCGAAAATCTATAGGGTTTAATCTCTGTTTTGAATATGTGCATGCATGTCATCACAGCCACGAATTCCGGCGAATGTCGTTTAAGTTCTAAGCTAGGTGGTGACTGTCTTCTTGGGAACCCACTCAAAGTCTTCGTTTCGCTTCAATGATCCGAGCTTTAAACTTTTAGCTGGATTTTTGTATGTATATATGTGTGTATGCATTTGTGTTTCTGGAGACTTGGGTCAAACTCAATTGGATCAAGTAAGGCCTTTGACTTTCTGTGTGTTTGTTCTGGTTTGTATTTTGTGAATTTTGAATTTGCATGTTTCATCAATTAAATTGTTGCTTTTTACACATGTATTTGCACCTTTTGGTAGAGAGATAATGAATTGGGTTTTGTTTCCTGTACTGTTTTCATAATTTATTTCCAAATTTGGTGTTAGTTATGCGAAATTTTGTAAAACTTGAGTGTTTGTTGGTCTGATTTGGGTTCATTTCATGTTGCTTTTGGATTTGTTTCAGGGCTTGGTGTTCCTAATGTTGTGGTGTGGATTCAGTATATTGAGCTTCGGTAACAATAAATAGCGAATTTAGGCAATTTTTATGGCTTTTTCGATGTATATGTTGTTGAATGGACGAGATCCTGGTATTTTCTTTGGCGGTGTGGTCTGGTTATTGCTTAGTTGTAGTTTCAACTTTGCTATTGAGAGTGATATAAAATGCTTGAAAAGTCTAAAACCATCACTTCAGGATCCTTTAGGCTACTTAAACTCATCATGGGATTTCAGCAATAAGACCGAAGGTTTCATCTATAACTTTCTGGGAATCGAGTGTTGGCACCCTCACGAAAGCAAAGTTTTAAATATCAAGCTTTCGGATTTGGGACTCAAAGGCCCGTTTCCTCGGAGTGTAGCAAATTGCATAAGCTTAACAGGATTAGATCTTTCGAGCAACAAGCTCAGTGGACCTTTTCTTGAAGATATCGGTAGAATTATTTCGTTCATTACAACTCTTGATCATTGTGTAGAATGAATACACTAGAGGTGTGATTTGTATGTGTGTTTTGGTTACTCCTCTTTAGTTCGAAAGAAGAGATTATTGCGCAGAAAGTGGTTGTTTATATTTTTTTTAATTATTAATATATTTTCTGTCGGTTTCATCCGACAAGAATGCTTTTATTTATTCTTAATGATAAATTCTCTATCGGTTATAGTCGACATAATTCCTGGTGATTTTGGATTTTCTGTCGGTTTTATCCGACATAAATTCTCTTATTTATTTATTATAAATATATATCTTGTAGGCTATATCCGACAGGATTTCTGTCGGTTTTAGAGTATTTTCTGTCGGAAAATTTATTTCATGACGCAGGCAATTCTGTCGTTTATTATATCCGCCACTGCATACATTTTCTGTCAAATTTTGCTTAAAATCCGATAGTAATATACGTTTTTTGTCGATTTTTGAACCGCCAGTTATAGATAATTTTGTAGTAGTGATATAGTGTTCTTCACTTTGAATTCAACTAGATGCCTTATATACTAGGGGTGGGCAAACGGGTATAGGAACTGCGAGTCGGGGCGGGTAATTAAGGTTCGGGGAGGGTATGGGCCGGTTCTTATTTTGTAAAAACAGAAACGGGGTAGGCCTTTGAAATTTTCGATTTGGGCTGGTTCCTAAAGTATAGGAACCACGGGTACCTGGACCCGCTCTTTGTAGTTAGAATGTACGGATGAGATTGAAGAGATCATCTCTCCATTTAATCTGAATTGTTGGTTTTAGGTTTGCTCATCCTCAAAGCTATCGAATTCAACTATCACTCTCACTCTGTCGATCGAGTCTCTCTCGCCATCTTCAGTGCGTCGTCCTTTTCCCTCCACCACCCCGATAGTACTACGACCCATGTGACCACTATCTTCTCGATTTGTCACCTCTCTTTCACCTCTCTCTCACTGTCTCGATTTAACATCCCAGGGACCCAGACTTACAGAACCCAGCCGTCTCGAGTGCGTCGTCCCCTACCCTCATCGAGGAGGACGAGATTCAGATCCTGCAGGTTTACTCCAAGGAGATCAGCAAACGCATGCTCAACATTGTCAAGTCCAGGAACGCCGTTGCTTCTGTTGCTCAAAACGGCACCACGGAGTCTGAGATTGCGAGCTCTACGGTGGAATCTACCGCTGTTACCGCCAGTGAAGTTGCTAAGGCTAAAGAGTACTGATCTCTCCATGTATGTTAGGTCACTCTTAACTTCATATTAGGGTTTTTCATATCGAGATATGTTCGTATTTATCATGTATTTCTTTTGATACTTATATACTTAATGACCTGCTAAATATTTAAACTTTGTTAATTTCGCTATGCGCTTCAATTTTTTGTGGATTATATTATTTGGGTTTCTGTTGTGAGTATTGATCTATTGAGTCTTAATCTGCTTTGTTCAGAGATGTTTATGCTCAAGATTTTATAAAGAAGTTGGTGCATTTGGAATTGGAAAATTTTCGAAATCTTTCCTCTTGCATTATTTGGGTTTCCTATTGCATAATCTGCTGCACTGGTGAATCTGTGCAATATGTGCAAATACCAGTTTTTTTTTTTTAAAAAAAAAAAAAAAACCAAGGACCTGTGGACCCGGCCTGTTTCAACCGGGCCGAGTAAGGTTTGATTCCTATATAAGAAAATGTAATCCCTGACTCGGCCCGGCCTGTCTCCTTTGCACCTAGGTCCGGTCCAATCCCTTCAAATTTGGGTCCGGCCCGGCCCATGCCAACCCCTATTATATACTTCTAATTTGGCAAATATTTTACAAGAATTATCTATGAGATGCAATATGAAAAATAAACATTTAGATCATTGAAGTTCAATATAAGATGAGACCACAACTAACCCTATTTTTTCAAAAATGGAATATCCTCCGTTAAAGAATCTAATATTGACAATGTCGGGTGGGAAAATACATTGTCTATTCAGATTTTGAAAATCTATATTCCGATTACCCCTAATATTGACAATGTCGGGTGGGACAATACATTGTCTATTCAGATTTTGAAAATCTATATTCCGATTACCCACATTTCTTCGAAGCACGCCTCTATTAAAAATAAAATAAAATAAAATAAAAACCACACATTTTCTCCATCTCTCTTTCTTTTTCTCTCCAAAGTAATGATGTATCACCAATAGAAAATGAGCAAGTTTATCAACGTTTAAGTAATAATCTAGTCATCAACTTTCATGTTATTTATTTTACAAAATTTAGTCTACAAATTTAGTCTTACTAGCATTACTCTTTTCTCAAACATCTCACTCTTCTATATTATTATTTTAGGTAAATGTCAATTTACTATTATCAAGTTTCGTGGTTTTCAACATTTAGTACATCAAGTTTTTTTGGTCCCAGAGTCATACCTAAAGTGTTAATTTTGGGACAATCTCATACATCCAATAGTCTGACTGTTAAATCTCCATTAACTGATGATGTAGAGCTTATGTGAACTTGGACGCCACGTGTCAATTTTTTTTTTCTTTTCTAGCATCTCCTACCCCTCACACCACGACCCCAGCCCCCCCCCCCTAATCTGCAACCACTCTCTTTTCTCTTCGCCGTCATCGCCGTTTCCATTTCCAACTCCATTCCCCCGCTTCAAACCCCAAAATTCTTAAATCTTCCCCCAAATTTGTCGTGTCCCCAGATCAACCGCCAAAACTAAGTCGTTCGATTCGTGGAATACAGGAGGGCGGAGAAGCTCCGAGAGTACTTGAAATCGAGTGTGCGATCCGATGGGTGGGATTGGACCGAGAGGAACAACTCGGGAGAAAAAGTACCCGATGAATTTCGAGTTGATTTGGATTGAAGAATGAAGGCATCAGACATTTGTTGCCAAACTACCATTCCAGTCTTCCAAAATCCTCTCGCGCTTCGAGTTCTTGAGCAGAGGAGCGGCAAAGTACTCGGTCTTTTCACCGTTGATAACTGGACGGCTGCATCGGAGCAAGATTTGCAGAACGACCTTCATGGAAGGCCTACTAGCTGGAAGTGTCTCTGTGCAACTGAGGCCAAGTTTGAAAACCGAGCACATTTCGTCCAAGTAACAAGGTTCTTTGACGTCCTGGTCCAAAGCATCGGCGATAGCGTTTTCTTCTTGAACATGGCGCCACGCCCATTCAGCGAGGGCAGTGTGTTCATCGCCGTCGTTGGCTTCCCTGCCGGTTGTCAACTCCAGAAGGATGACCCCAAAACTATACACATCGATCTTTTCATTCACTCGCGTTGTGTGGGCGTATTCTGCATTTAGGGTAAGAAAAACCAGTTTACAGATTGCTAATGTGAAATGAAAGAAAATACACATGCTTCTTTAGGCACTAAGGGCTTGCTTGAGATTGCTTTTAGAAGGGCTAAATGTGCTTTTCTAACAACTCAAAGCACTTCTAACTGCTGTTGGCAAAAAAACTTAAAGTGCTTATGGGTCATAGAAGCATTTTGGTTTTTTGTCAATTGCTTTAGCGAAATTTATGAGCAGAAGAGAAAACCACTTCTTGCAAAAGTACTTATAAGAAGTGCTTTATAAAGAAGCGGTCTCAGACATGCCCGAACTTCAGCATCTATGGGGTATAAGGTTTACCTGGAGCCATGTAGCCAAATGAGCCAGCAACAGATGACATTGTAGCAAGTTCTCCTTGCTTGACCAACATCTTAGCCAGACCAAAGTCTGCTATTTTTGCATTGAAATCAGAGTCCAACAAAATGTTGCTTGATTTCACGTCACGATGCACCACCGGCGGCACGCAGTCGTGGTGCATATAGCTGAGGCCCTGAGCTGCCCCCACTGCAATCCGCAACCTCTTAGGCCAGTCGAGCGCGACATGTTGGACTGGCCCCGAGAGATTGGATGGCCCGTTTCTCCTGTGCAGCCATCGATCCAGGCTCCGATTATCTAAGTACTCGTAGACGAGAAGTTTTGAAGTGTTACTGGAAATGCAGCACATCAGCTTCACTATGTTGGCGTGTCGAATTGAGCTTAAGATCTTGACTTCTGCAAGAAACTCTTTCTCAAGCTTCTCTTCTAAATTCTTATTCTTCCAAATCTTCTTCACAGCAACAACATCACCATTGCGATTCACAGGAACGCGATAAACTTTTCCTGATCCACCACATCCAATCAGATTACGTTCAGTCAACCCCGATAGGATTTTCGGCACTGTGAAATTCAACTTCTGAAATGAGTTGAGCTTCCAGTTAGAATCACCATTTCTCTTCCAGTAACTTCTGACCACGATGACCGCGATGGAAAAAGCCAACAAGCACAACAGTATGCCTAAGGATAAAATCAGTGCAAGAGATTTCGACGAAAGTTTACTGGACTTTCGGGATTCAGAATTGCATATGGGGAGCTTTATTGCCGCTGAGCTTGGTGCGCAGAGGCCTCGATTGTCCAAGAAGCTTCCTTCATACGCAGAGTTTTCAAATTCGATAGGGATCTCCCCGGTGAGGTGATTGGAAGAGAGATTGAATTGGTTGAGCTTCAGACGCCCGAGTTGATCTGGAATTTCGCCAGAAAGTTGATTTGCTGAAAGGTCTAATCCAGTAAGTCCCGGCAGAAGACCAAGCTTCTCAGGAATTGTTCCAGACAGCTGATTTCGACTGAAATTAAGACTAGCGAGTGACTCCCACGACACAATATCCGATGGAAGGGAGCCGGTGAGCTGATTCTGATCAAGAGAAAGAGTCATTAAGCTAGAAAGCACGGTTAATTCCCGAGGAACAGCACCGCTAAAGAGGTTATTACCGGCGTCAAAAACCTTCAAACTTGTCCAGGAAGACACCCCGGTTGGAATGTTGCCCGAAAATCTGTTGTCTCGCATTTCCAAGCGTGAAAGATCTGATGACATCTTCTCAGGAAGCTTGCCAGTAAGCGAGTTGTTGCTCACCAGCACAATAGTCAAGTTTGGTGCCGTCCACATACCGTTAGGAATGTTTCCAGACAACATATTATCTTGAACCTTGACATTCTTCAAACTGCTGCAATTTCCAAGAGAGCTTGGCAATTCTCCACTCAGATGATTCCCATAAGCTATAACTTCTTCTAGCTTACCCCAATAGCACAAATCGTCTGGCAGTTTTCCCGTTAGCCTATTGACGCAAACTTCAAAAGCTTCGAGCTTCGAGTACTTCCCAAACTCTGGAGCCAATGTTCCTGAAAAATTGTTGTTGAACATTCTGAATTTTTTGAGGTTTGGCAGGCGGCCAATGCTCTTCGGAATTTCACCCGAAAAATCATTGAGAAACAAAGCCAACTCTGTTAATTTGGTAAGATTGCCGTACTCTTCTGGTATTGTCCCCATTAAAGTGTTCTCAGAGATATCAAGAATGCTCAAGTTCCATGACTCAATCACTTGAGGAACCTCCCCGGAAAGCATGTTCTTGTAGAGATAGACGATACTCAAATTCTTCACCGTAAACAAACCGTTCGGGATCCTCCCACTCAAACTGTTTATTGCCAAATCAATTACTTCCAATGCTTCCATCTCCCCAAGTGTCTCAGGAAGCTCTCCAATCAAGTTCGATTGGCGTATCCATAAATTCTTGAGCTTTTTCAACTTGGTGAAATTGGAAGGCAAGGTCCAAGGCACAAGTTTTATGTTGAAAGACATGTTTAGGTCTTTGAGATTGGACAAGTTACCTATTTCTGGTGGGACAGAGCCATTGAACTGGTTCATCCACAGCTGAAGATTCTCGAGCTCTTGCAACTGCCCTATCGCGGGAGGAATGTCGGAGAAATTGTTTCCGGCAAGGATAAGCTGCTTAAGCCGAGGCAGGCTGTCGATGTCATCAGGAATTGGGCCTACAAAGTAGTTTTGTGAAAGGTCTAAGTATTCTAGCTTGGGACACTTGTAGAGAGATTTTGGGAACTCTCCGGGGAGGTAGTTGTAGTTGAGATCGATGAGTGTGAGGTTTGTGAGATCACAGATGAAGGGTGGAACTGGCAGGGTTATGTTCAAGTTGACGAGAGACAATCCAGTGACGGAGTTGTTTGTGCAGGAAATTTCGGGCCAGGAGCAGTAGTAGGAAGAAGAGTTTGAGTTTGATGGGATCCAGTGGCTGAGAAATGGTGGAGACTGTAAGTAGGACTTGAGTTTCAGAAGGACTGCTTGTTCTTGTTCTTGGAGGGATTGGGAGTTGGCATGGCGGAGGAGGGGGAGGAGGAGGAGGAGAAGGAGGAGGAGGTGGAGGTGGGTTTGGAGAGGAGATGTTCGGGTGTGTTTAGCCATTTGGAGGGAGTGGGATTTCAAAAGTTCGTTGGTTCCCGCGGTTGTGTTGAGGACAAGTTAGCTAGAGCTCAGAGGATGTGATCCTTTTTATGAGATATGAAATTGAATCTAAATAGACGTTAGAAATTGTGGGATTTTCCAGAATCATTGCAGGGTCACAAATGGTTTAGAGTTTTAGTGGGGGACTTGGAAAATTTATGGTCAATGGAGAAAGTGTCAAAAACTCACCAATTCTTGTGGGGTTGTGCCTATCTCCAACCGATGGTTGGCCAAATGGCTCGTTTTAGTCCTCTGACCTTTCAAGATTCTCCAATATATTAATATTTTAATGAACAATACATGATCATATTTGCCTGTCTCCAACCGAGGGCCAGAGGGCCAGATGACTTGTTTTAGCCCTTTCACAAAAAAACCGTCTCCAACCGAGGGCCAAAGGGCCATAGGGCCAAACATAATTTATTATTTAAAAACTACAACTTAAATGTTGTTTCATATTGTTTAATGTTGTTTCATGTTACTTAATTTAATTTAATGTTGTATAATGGCTTAGGAAGTAATAGAAAAAAAAATAGAATTTAAAAAAAATATGAAACAAATTTTGTGAAATAGAAGTTATAGAAAAAAAATGGAATTTAAAAAAAAATATGAAATAAATTTTGTGAAATATAAGTTATAGGAAAAAATGAAGGAAATTATTGAAAAAATATTGAAGGAAAATATTGAAAAATTGAAACAAATATTATAGATGAAGGAAATATTGGAAAATATATTGAAGGTAATATTGAAGGAAATATTGAGAAATATATTGAAGGAAATATTGAAGAGGGAAATATTGCAAATGAAGTGAAGAATTGAAAGAACTTCACCATATTTATAGAAGAAAAGAAATGTTTAAATTTAAAAAAAAAAAAACCAACGGCTAGCTTATTAGCTAGCTGTTATATTAAAAAAAAATTCAAACTATTAGTATCGGTTATAACCGACACTAATAGTAAATAAAAAAAAATTGCCTATGAATACCTATTACTGTCGTTTATAACTGACAGAAATAGGAAAACTATATAAAAAAAAAATAGCCAGTCCTCCAGCCCTCTCCGATTCCGTGAGCCCCTCCCAGATTCCCTAGCCCTCTGGCCTAGCCCTCGGTTGGAGACGGTTTTAGGGCTATTTTCGACCTTCTGGCCCTCTGGCCCTCTGAACCCTTCGGTTGGAGATGACCTAACGCCCAGTGGGGGAACATGCTCCCTCTCATCCCCTTTTTTTTTTCATTACAAATTATTCAATTAATCATTCCTATTTTTTTAGTTTTGCAGATTATTCAATTAATCATATTAAAATATTGAAAATCCTCTTTTAGTTTTAAATGCCCATCCGTCTTGTATATTTTTCTCACGCATTAATGTCTAAATCTTGTTGAGTTGCATGTATTTGGTTAATTAGTACAAATGAGCATTAGACAATAGAGTAATAAATTAGGCTTTTTGTAAACAATTTTGTTCAACATTTGTAAAAGAACTAGCTTTATTTGTCCAAAAAAGAAGCTCAAAAATTTCAAGGTGCCCCCTCTTAGTTCAATTTCTAGCTTCGTCCCTGTACACTTGCTTACTTCCGTTGCTTTTTCTCGATATATGCATATTGCTGTCTGACACGTAAGTTAATAGTATTTTAAGCCCCTAATGATAATATTTGATAAAAATAACTTATTAAAACCACAAAAATAGAAATTTATACTTGCATATCAAACTGTAATTTGTCCATGAAGAGGTGTGACTTCTTACATATAAAGGAACTGAGTATTTTCGTTTTCGTTTTCAAATTAGGTTTTAGTTTTACAGTCAAGGGATATGAGATGAAGATCAGAAGCCCTACCAGTTGACTTTAATATATGTGATAGTTATTACACAAAAGGCGCGTTTACTAATCCGTAATCAGATTGAAGGAAATTGAATTGAGGGAGAATTTGATTAAGCTGAAATCAAAACTAGATTTTTATTAAAGTTGTTTATTAAAGTATCTGGAATCGGAATAAAATTGGTGTCAATTCCATAAAACTTGTTTACTTATTCAGTTAAATCGGAATTAAAAATAGTATCATTACCAAACTACCCCTCATTCTAAATAATTATTTTTCATATAAAGTTATTGGAATTGATTTATATATCATATCATATTAATTCATAAAATAATTGAAGAAGCTCTTCTTAAGGTAATATTTATGTAAATAAAAATAAAAAAACCAGCACCTCATCCCCTTCCTCCCGATGTCCCAGCATCGTCATCTCCTCCCTTTCTTCAATCCTATCTTTCCCCAACCCCCACAACCTTCCCACGACGTCCCATATTCACAGGTCCTCCCATATTCCCAGCATCTATATCCTCTTCTTCCCTAGCCCCCACAACCATCCCACCACCTCTTGAATTCGCAGATTCACATGCATCTTCATATGTCTCTCGTTCTTAAATTCTGCAAGCAACGAGGAGAACTGTGGTTCGGGTGTGGCCGGAGCCAACGCTCCACCTAGGAAAATTGGTGAGACTGGAGAAGAGAGTGATATGGGTACCTCTGTGGGATTTGGTGATGAAGTTTGTAAGGTTGTTTTGAAATTAAGAAAATAAATTAGGGTAATTTTGAAACAAAACTTTGATTCCTGGAGGACTCCCCTTCAAGGAATCCAAATACCAAGTATTATTAGGTCATCTCTAACCGAAGGGTCCAGAGGGCCAGAGGGCCGAAAATAGCCCTAAAACCATCTCCAACCGAGGGCTAGGCTAGAGGGCTCTGGAATCTGGGAGGGCCCCACGGGATCAGAGAGGGCTGGAGGGCTGGCTGGCTATTTTTTTTTTATAGTTTTGTTATTCCTGTCGGTTATAACCGACAGGAATACATACTATTATTTAATATACTAAATAATGGTGTATTCCTGTCGGTTATAATCGACATGATTGTTTAAAAAAAAATTCAAATGAAACGGCTACTAGCCGTTCCATTTGATTTAATTTTTTTTTTTTACATTATTATTATTATTTTTTATTTACAAAATTTTTCATATAACTTATATTTTTTCCTATAACTTCTATTTCACAAAATTTGTTTCATATTTTTTTTAAATTCCATTTTTTTCCTATAACTTCTATTTCACAAAATTTGTTTCATATTTTTTTTAAATTCCTTTTTTTTCCTATAACTTCTATTTCACAAAATTTGTTTCATATTTTTTTTTCCTATAACTTCTATTTCACAAAATTTATTATATTTTTTTTAAATTCCATTTTTTTCCTATAACTTCTATTTCACAAAATTTGTTTCATATTTTTTTTTAAATTCTATTTTTTTTCCTATAACTTCCTAAGCCATTATACAACATTAAATTAAATTAAGTAACATGCAACAACATTAAACAATATGAAACAACATTAAATAAAATTAACCAACATTAAAATTATACAACATGAAACTTAAACAACATTTTAGTTGTAGTTTTTAAATAATAAATTATGTTTGGCCCTATGGCCCTTTGGCCCTCGATTGGAGACGGTTTTTTGTGATAGGGCTAAAACGAGCCCTCTGGCCCTCTGGCCCTCGGTTGGAGATAGAGGCAAATATGACACTGTACTGTTCATTAAAATATTAATATCTTGGAGAATCTTGGAGGGCTAGAGGGCTAAAACGAGCCCTCTGGCCAGCCCTCAGTTAGAGATGGCCTTAGAGAATCCGATTCCAGGTAACACCGAAGCTTGATTCCAGAAATGAGCTGGATCCCACCCCATCCCCGCTCCCCCTCCCCCTTCTCCTGAATTTTCGAGGTGACGGGAAACCACGTCACCATGGACAGTTGATGTACCCATCTAATCGGAGGATGCCACGTGCCCTACTAAAGAATCCATCTGATTTATTTTTTTTATGGAAAATCAATTAAAATAAAAACTAAAACAAAATAATTCGACAGTCGCGCCAACAACCCACAGCTCCCCCCACCCGGCGTCCGATCCGTCCTCCTCGCAATTTCTATTTCATCCTTCTTTCTCAAAGACGGGAAAAGAAGAACGCAATTTTGGCCACATATTCTTGGAAAAAATTGAGTCATCGATTCTCTCAACCCCCACTATAATCACTAACTCGCGCCACCATTAACTCAGTGAGTCGGCTCCTGTGCTCGTCCGCCTCGCAGTTTCATACCCATCACAAAAAACCAAGCAAGGAGCAAATTTTTCTCGTCAAAGAAAAACTCGAACATCAAGCCGATGAAGATGACGACGAGGAAGATGGTCCACATGGGTTCCAGCGGGGGCATATAGCGTCGGCGGTTATCGATTGGAGAAACTTCATCTGCCACTCTCTGCCTGTTGTTGTTCGTCTATGAGGAAGAGGAAGAGAGGGAGGTGGAGTGGTACCAGATTTGGACGAGATTGGGGTTGGCGTGTCTCGCCGGAGAGGGGTTGTATGGCCTGCATATTTTGTATTTGAATCTTTCAGTTTTAGTTTTTAGATGTCGTGATTTCATTGAAGGGGTATTCCAGCAGTCAATTGTCACTGGTGACGTTGGCTCCGCAGTCGAGATGTTTAAATTTTAGAAAAACTAATTAAAAGAGTTTGAAAACTTTAAATTTTAACGATAAAGATAAAATAAAATGTAAAATGAATAGTAATATGATTGATTTTTTTAATGTAAAAATATGATTTTTCGTTAAAGTGAACAATACCAGAAACTTTTTGTTAAAGTTTCCTTAAATTTTTGGGTTTAGTTTTGGGAACTTTAATGAAAAGCTCCCGATACTGTTTACTTTAACGAAACTATTCATTTTATCTTTTATTTTGTTCTTATAGTTAAAACTCAAAGTTTTTAAATTTTTTTTATTAGTTTTCTTTTTAGTTTTTGTTTAATTAATTTTCTTTAAAACTAAATCAGATGGATTTTTTAAGGTGAAACGTGGCATTCTCCGATTGAATGAGTACACCTACTGTTCCCGTCATTTCAAAAGTGGACAGAAAGAACAGAAACCACATGCTTGTAAGTAAAAAAATTTGAGCAAAGTTAAAATATAATTTGTCCGTTAGCCGAACGTGAGGTACGTGAAAGGCAAGGAAAAGAAAGGCTATGAAGTTTCCTCGTAACCGAGGTGTGGACGAATGTTGAACGAAGACTTCTAGAAATGAAATAAT